ATCGCTAAACTCCATTTGACACGACGAAAGCTTAAAAGATTTCAGCAGAGTCTTGCGATCGATCGACGAATCGCTGACAAATATTAAGAATTTCCAAATGCTCCAAGAGTTAACAGATCACAATTCCGTAATTCTAGGATTCCACCCATCTTCCTATTAGGAGAATATCGGTCAGATTTGCATATGACAGATTCGAGGAAGGAAATTCAGGTTGAAAAATCTAAGAACGACAGATAAGAAGATAGATACTCGCGAGAAGAGCGGTGGTACCGACGCCAGACGTGGAGAGGTTGCGCTTTTGTCGAAGCACTCGAAAACGAGGAGTCGCCGGATCTTCTTTATGCCAGCAGTTGGCCGATCCCGGCTGAAAGGACGACGGATGCCTGCTCGCGGCGCGGATTAAACGCCGAGATCAAGTATTCTTGATAAAGGTAGCGGATCAAGTGGCGCGGAGAACGACTAAATCGAGGGAAAACCAGCGACTCCGAGCCTCTGTCGCTCTTACGTCGTTTCTCTGTCCTGCAACTGACATACAACTGGTTCGCAAAAGTACTGGACCGTTTATCGTAGAAAACATTTACGTACGTTTACGTTGTGACGCGTTATGATAAAAGACTCTGAAATTTTATTTTTCGTTATTAAACGAATGCTGAACAGCGTACAAGGGACTTACAAGAATTCCGCGACGAAATTGTTTTGTAACTTTCCAACCGCTCAGGGTTGGAAAATGACCTAACGGAACGAGAAGCCAGTCGCAGACTGACGAGCTTCTGTGTATGTATAGATACGTTTTCTTCCGTCTTGGAATCTCGAAAATTTACTTCAAACCATCAGTTGCAATTAAAGGATTGCCTGAACCCTATTACCATTCGAACACTTTTCACCTTGCGCGACTATTAAACCAAGGCTTCCTCCAGAACTAACCAAACGAAGATCCATCAGTAGACAAACGATTTTCCATATGTACAAATGAGCCTTCAGCAGCACTAAACTATTGCGTTTGAATCTTGAAAACTTTTAGGTAAAACCGTGAGTAGCGCTTAAAGAATGTCGAAAATCTCGCCATTAAAAGCTCCATCCTCGGCGCGCTTATCGAACTAAAATCTCCTCATTTAATAGCTTCGCTTTAAGTCAATGACTTTAAGGACCGTTTAAACAAAAGGCGGATCGTTAGAAGAGCTTCGACAGTCCCAAGAAAACAGTTTCAGATATCCCTGGAACACGGACCTCGACTTGAATCTCGGTGTTTCCCTAATTTTTCTCGAACCACAGCGCAATCGGAGGACAAGTCGAGCGAAAATCAGGAAAATTAGCGCCAACAGCACTCGGACTGAGAGGGAGCGGACGGATCAGTAATCCTCGGCTGCCTTTTGTCGGGAAAATCCCATGGCGGCAAACGAAAATGAGACACTCGACTCGACTCGAGTCCTTCGAGATGGCTTCCTCGAGTGCTCGTCTTCAGACCCCTGGCACACGAGCAAACACAGCTCCAGCTAAAGGACCACGAGGTCAACAAACACCGGGGAAAACGGTCAGCTCCTGTTGCTCCCGTTTTCCTTTTTTTTTTCTTTCCTTTTCTGTTTAAAGGAGACTTCAAATCTTTGTGAATTTGGTTTCCCAGGAGCGCGGGAATTTTTCGGATCACCCTGTTCATCGGACCGTGTCTTCGGGGTTAATGGATTCGGACTTTGGTCAATTCCTCGTGGAAAACTCGATGAAGTTTGTCGTCGTTCTTGGAGATTTTCTTTGTTACCTGAGATGAAGGTTCTCGTGGTTACTCGATGGACACTTCGGGACTGTCTTTTTAGGGTGGAAGAGGGTTTGTGAGCAGAGGTGTGTTTTTCGAGAGGGTCTTACGCAGCTTGAAGGATGTTTTCAGGTTTTTGAAAAGTACTCGAGCAATCCTTTTTAACAGCTTTAATTGGTCACCCATGTTAGTATACGTTGTTTGGGATACTTCAATGCAAATGTACTCGAATGTCTTAGTTTTCTGTACATTGAAACAAGGGACTCGTAGTAGCCACTTTGTCTGCCTTTTAGCCGAGTTCTCCTGCAAACTACTTTTAATTAATTTTCGAAAGAAACTGGAAATTCGAAAGAGTCAGAGGCTGCTCTTATCAAAGTGACATATAATATATTCGCGTGAAATTGGGGAAGGTTATGTCATCGTTTCGTTGCTTTCGAATCTGTTTAAAAAATTCTGCGAATTTCACAACCTTCGCCTATTTTTATGAAAACGGACTGCATTTAAGATTGAAACATAGTCCGCGTGGAAAAGTTTGCATCGTTTTAACGAGATACATTTCTACATAAATATCAAAATCCATCGGAGGCCGCGTACGATTAGAGTTTTATTTAGAAAGAACGACTCGATCCATGTGACAAAGGGGTTGAAAGCCGAATAAAAAGCCCTCTAGCTAACAACACATCTCCGAATTACTCAAGATAAAGGTCCAGCAGCTGACGATCACCTCTGAAAGCCTCGTTCCGCCCCACATATCGCGAACCAAAGCAATACTTGAAAACCGTGCTCCTCGAATCTTCCCCGAATTCGGAAAGGGTTGACCGACTCCGACAACCCCCTTAGAACTGCCTCTTATACATTTTCTGGGCTCGTGCACAGGCTCATAGAGTCTGGAAGACACAAGTGAGCCGTGGTTAACACGGTGGTTATCTTCAACCTAGTCGAGGACCCATTCAGAATAAAATGGAAAGACGAAAAAAAAAAAAAACTGAGAAGTAGCTTGGTGTGGCGTATCGGCAGCCGGTGCTCCACCATATAACGATAAGAAGAAATCAAAACTTCCAAGAAGTTAACAACGAGACCGACCCTAATTCCATTCGTCTTCCAAATATCGTTGTCCATTTATCATTCTTCATCTTGGAATTGCTCGTGTAAAGAAATACGGAAAACACATATTTCATCTAATTTTATTAATTTCCAAACATTGTCAAACTTTGTCATTATTTGACAACTGTCACCATTTTACGTGGTAAATGTATTTCCATAATTCTCATCACAAAATCTGCAAATACGTATTTTAGGTGTCTAACTCTATCCAGGATCTATTTACAACGAACTGAAGAAATCCAAGGGAAGACTGAGAAAATGGGAAACCTGTTGGCGCATATGACACACGGTGTTTCACCATACAGCGGTAGGAAGAGATGGAAACGAACGAGAAGTTGACAGATATATCGATCCTAATTCCATTCGCCTTACCAAATCCAAAGTTATTCGTTTATTCGTCTCTATCTTAGAATTCTGCGTATAAGGAAGTGCCAAAAACATCTCTTCCGAATTAAACTTGAGCCAGACACCATTTCACACGATCGTATTAACCTATTATCGCTTATCGTATCGCACCTACTGTCTGGCATTAAAAAATCTGCGAGCACACGTCGAGAGGACGTATCGCGTTTGTCCCCGGCTGCGTGCAGATCGAATTCGCGATGAACCGGGAAAGTCGAAACAGAGGCTGAGAAAATAGGAAATCCGTGCGGCAGTACGAAGAAATTGGAACGATCGGACCAGAAGAGCGGAGCAGAGAAGAGAAGAGAGAGACGAGAGTAGGCTGAAGGGATGAGGAGGTGGAAGACGAGGAGGAAGAGAAAGGCTGCTGGTCGTAACAAAGGTCGGGCTGTGCCAACCATTGACATCGCTCTGGGCCCCGGCCTGGAGGACTAGATTTCACGAGCCAGCGATGCAGGATCCTTCAAAGGACGCCGACATGGGACTGCCGCAAAAAGGATTCGCAAAAAAGGAGAACGGTGCAGCGTCCACCGGGCAAAAGGGGGCCAGGGGAAGTGGTGGCCGCTGAAAGAACCAGGTTTCTTTGGCCCGACGTTGGCTTCCGCAGACCCACGGCCTCCCCTCTCTCCCTTTTCTCTTTTCGTCTTCGTCTTCTTCTCACAGAAAACGATCGAGAGACCACTATATGCAACCCGGCAAGGAGGCAGGAAGAGGCAGGGGCGAGGCTAATAGAGAGGAGCGGACCAGGCCACCATCGGGACACCGGCTGCTGCAACTACTTGACGCCGAAATCCATCGCGATAACTTAATCCGCTGGGATTATGGGCACACGAATTCTCGCAGATAGGTTAATTCGAATGCTTTCTGCACTCTGCGCTTCGTACAGGCCAACGTGACAGTATATCATCGGCTTGTCGTTTTCTGGGGCTGAAAGGTAGAAAACATGGTAGTGACGTGTACGAGGTGATCGCTCAGATTGTTAGATTTTTATAGTATTTATAACAGCCATCAGGCATAGATTAATGCCAATTTAGGTGTCTGGTAGATTTTATGCTATCTATAATAATTAACAGGAACAGGATGATACCACCTGGTTTTTAGATTTTGATATAGGGAAACGTGGCAGTGTATTGGGAGCTCGCTGTTTGTTAAGGCGGAGGTGGAGAGTAGAGCGAGCGAGTTTGCTCAAGTTATTAGATCTTACGAGCGTATTCTTGATCTTAGGAATGGCTTGTGTTTTAAGTGGTAACCTTTTATGCTAATGAATTTGCAGAGCGATATGGAAGATAGAAAATTCACGACGTAGACAGGAAGTTGTGAGAGATCGACCACTCGGTTGCCACGAATTAATCTTTCGCTTTAATAAACGTACACTGTGGTATAGAAGGCAGAACATTGAGAAAACATGCGGCAAGTTTTAAGTGATAATTTTTTCCACCAATTAATTTGTAGGCTCGTGTGGATACGCGAAGTTGTAAGCGATCGACCAAATAGATTAATTTTTTGCGTTAATAAATTTATATGTTAATGTAACAGATAGAAAATTGGCGAAACGAAGAGGCGAAGTAGTAAAATGGTCATCGTCGAGGACGGAGACTGCCGCGTGCACGCGGCCTAACGAGCTTTTAATCGGTCGATCGTTAGGTCGTTAGCCGGGCAAACGTTAGCGATTAATTGCGAGACTCGGAGCTCCAACTTAGGCTAGTAAGTAAGTAATTGTTTGGTTGGCGTTACGTACAGTACTTACAAAGCCGTGCTTGTCGCTGATGTTGTTAGTGAGTTTGAGCTTGTGGAAGCTCACCACCTTCTGCATCCACTGCTCACCGCTACTCGGCGAATCAGGATGGATGTACATCCTCTTCGGCATTTCCGGGTCTGCCTTCCCCGCTACCATCCACCTGCTACTCGACAAACACGTTCAAAAAATCATTAAAAATCTTTTCAATCTTAACATTTCTTTATAAAGCAGGAAAATTTACATCTTTTCCAACGATTCGACAGATTCGAACGTATTTCACGTGCTCGTCCGCTCGCTACATATTCAAATTGCAAACATATTGAAAATCGATAAAAAGATCTCTTCAATTTCTATACAATTTGCTTTTAGAGAAAGGAAATTTAGGAACCTGAAACTGTACACCCTTCTGAGTATTTTCAAGAGGTTCGAAGATTTTTATACACGTAAGAACAGACGTATCGAAAGATTTTGAAATTATTGGAAAATTGCTTACAATTGGGTAAAAATGAACAAAGGGACACGTCGATTTTTTCATCTATCGCGCATGTCGATCAGAGATTACTGATGGTTAATGATATCAGAAGCTCGCGTTAATCGAACAATGATATTTGCCTAATCTTGCTACGACTCTTAGATGTTCATAGTGACAAATTTCACTGCAATTTCACTGCTGAATATTTTCAGAAAAATTTCAGTATAAAATCGAAACAACTATTCTTCCAAGACAGTGTCGATAAGATGCAAAGTGTTGACACTGGCAACGATGAAACGATGAAGTTTCTACCAGGAAATCAGAATGACAATCCTTAATTTCTATTCTCTACAGAAAAAGATTAAAGGAAATCGCCGCAAACGTACATGGCTAGGTTTCCCCATAAAAATCGTTGTAAACTACGTGTACTTAAATTTTCTACGAAGAGTTACGAATTGACCATCTTCGGCATAGTTTTCACGTTAAGTCGAAATTTCCAGCTACTTCTGTCCCGTTCTACGGGACCAGACACTCGATACAGAAACAATTGGCGAATGCAACGAGAAGCAAACGGCGAGATCCACGAACAGAGAAGTCGACACACGGCCAATCGAAAGGCAGACCACAACGAACGATTACATCACTCGGACGACCGCAGCCACTTTGGAACTCGTTCGACGAGTTCTTCTTCGTCCGCTCGTTTTGACCCACCTGCGATGGATTCGAACGACCAGACACGCCTCTCTTCAAAGACAACAATCGTGATAGCCGGTGCTTAGAGGAATCAGCCGAGAAACTCGCTCGATCGACACCTTTTCATCCGCTTCCTATTCGCTACCTGGTATCTCCAGTCTACTGGACTTGGCGATTTTTCTTTCACTTTCAGATTTACCAAAGTTCGATATCAAATTGTTTCCTTAGGATTCGAGAGTCGAAAAGCGCGTAATATCGTGTGGAATTTGAGAAAAGTTGACGTTTACGTTTGGGGTGGAAATATTGGGTTGGCAACTAAGCGATTGCGGGTTTTGTCATTAGGTGGTATTGACAAATCCGCAGTCACTTAGTTGCCAACCTAATATAACGGCCGTGGAATCTTAGAAAATTGTTATTCAGGTTATTTTCACCAATAAATATGGCAAAATTTATAGACATTTATCTGCGACAAATCTTCTTTCTTTTCGTCCAACGAATAACTTTTCGCATTGAAAAACATCAATCGAGAAGAGAATTATTTACAACGATATAAGGTGTTGCGTACATTTTATTGAAAAATTTGTCGCCAAGAAAAAGTAGAAAAATTAGGACAGTTCGTAATATACCCTTATTCGATTAAGTTGAAGCATTATTTTAATTATATATGAAAACGAATCGTATTACAGGGAGAATTATTTAAAGTAATCTTCGAGAAACTAAACGATTAATCTCGACAAAGTTGGTCACTTTTTCTGTGTAACTCAATTATCGTTTAAATTTTCCACCATTATTGCACCATTCTACGTTTCACCAAAGAAATCAAGATTTCTCCAAAGGATATCACGAGTTTCAAATCTCGCGCCACCATCTCCGCGCTAAAGAACCTCTAAATAAGGAGATATGGACTGTTTAAGACAAACACTGTGGCTCTAAAAGCGGGAAATGAGAGTGCATAAACGATTTGGCCGACGCAAAAAAGCGAATAGAAAAAGAATACCGTTTCGTACGTTCGTGAGAACGAGCACGACCATAGCGGATCGCCATTTACGTGACAAGGAATCTCGAAGCCCAACGTGATTTTCGCGAAGTCGGTCGACGAATTTCCCGGCTGCTTTCCCGGCAGGCCGATTATGTTCCGTTTAGCACCCTCGCGACGCGGAAAAACGTTAAACGGAGCTAGACGATTGTGGCAACGCTCGTGAGAACGCGTGTCTGCACGTTTCGGCCATCCAGGAAAAAGTTAATGGAGAGCTAATGACTGGCAGAAGGTTGAATCGCTCGGTTGGAATCATTGCAAGTTACTTTACAAAGCAGTTTGTTTGGAAAAACTGGAACAGCGGCGAGGTTTCTTCTTCTCCTACTCGTTTGCATATTACTGTGCAATCGTGGGTATTTACGTAAATGTAGAAATTTTGAGGATTAAAGAAAGTAGAATTTTATTTAACAACGTGGGATGTCGATCGGAGAAAGTAGAATTTTATTTGGCAATTTAGAATTGCAATTGAAGTAAGTAGAATATTATTTTGGTATTCGGAACTCTGGTCGAGTTAAGTAGAATTTCATTTAGAAATTTGGAATTCTACACCATGGGAAATATATGGTGACAACATATGACACCAAGAGAGAAATTTAGGCTACAAGGAAAACACGTTGGTCGATTAAAAGAGCGGAAGTTACGAGAGAAAAAGAAGTTCGATTTCCTTCCTCGTTAAAACTCTCTTGTTTACATTTATCATTTTAATCAGACTTCGTGGAAACTATAATTTTCATGGACACGTGGATCAGGAAAGAAAACGACGAGTTAAGTTATAAATCGATACACGTGGTTAACGGCTGGCTTCGATTTCAGGCTCGTTATTTCAAGTGGCGCGTAATCTTCGAGCCCTGATAAGCATGAGGCGCTAAAATCGAAGCGAAAGTGTCGCCTGTGTAATCCAAGTTTGGTAGGTGATAATTTCGAAGTATAAATCTTTTTCCTGAGAAAAATGTCGGTTAAAATTGCCGGCTGAACGCTATCGGCGGATAAACGGTGCTTTTGGTAACTCCTCATTTCGAGACATAAACTTCTCGCCGAGAAAATTGGACGGTATGAAACGCAGTTCGACAGTTATTAACCAAGAAAAAGTTCTATCGTTTCGTTCGTGATGGAAATAAAAAGAAGACCATAATTTTATTTAACAAAGTAATGTTATTATTATTTTAATGAACGACTTTCTACATTTTTCACATCCTTCGTTCCTTTTCTAAAAGAGAAAAAAGAAAGAAGATGGGTGAACTTTCTTATCCGACATGAGGCAAACAATTAAATTAAGGTAAAAACAGCTAATGAGAGGAAAAGTTGCTTTCAAGTTTTTGTTTTCGTTAAAAATTACAAGTCGAAGAAAAAGGAAAGAGAAAAATATGTTCCGGTGAAAGATGTCGATGAGGAAGTGGTAACGTACGAGTAATCGGATAATTGCATTAATTTCCGTGTTCGCGGTCGTCACGAAAGCTTGGACGCAACAGCTTGGCGGTTCGTGATCGCGATTCGTGGAACTATTCGAATCGTTAGAGCGTTCTACTCATGACAATTATACTGTTACAAGTTTCACCTAGACCCTTACCTGTTGTGGAACTTGTATCTGTAGTCGTCCGCTGCGACGATGTCCAGCAGGAGGATGTATTTGGCCTTCGCGTCCAATCCGGAAACTCGGAACTTCATCTGAGGGAACATCTGCCTGGAACCCCCGATCAACAGACACAGTTCGATCAGATAATTGCAGTAACATTCATTGGAATAAAATATAATTATCGAATAAAGTATATGGTCGACAAAATTTTGATTAAATCTGCGACTATATATTGTACACAAATAATTAACATCGAGTTTAATCATCTTGCAAATGTTCTCAAAATTTTGTCATCTATTGATTAATTTGTATTTTAAACCAGCCTTGAGCCAATACGAAAGAAGAACGTAAAGAAAATGACATATTTTGATTCTATTCGAACCCCAAATATCCCAAACTCTGTCGCTTATTTATCAAATCTTATTGCATCGTTCGCTTACGTCAACTTTCCACGTCCGATAAATATATCACTGTAATGTCCATTAAGAATTTGCAAACACACATTGCGCTCTTCTTCCTCGTCTTATCGGTACAATTTTCAGCCAGCAATAATTCAACCTACAAAGGAAAGCCTCAGTTTGTTCCCAAAACTCTGTCACCTGTCTATTCATTTCTGTTCCACAATTTTCCATCTATTGGGTTGGCCA